TCACTTTTAATGTTTTAAAATGCAACACGAAGTAAAATTAAATGTCTTATTTTAAAACACATTTCCTATCTCAATGATTTGAAACACTTAAGTATCTCATTTTGAAACATTTGTGAGTTACCAGTTTTTGCAGTGTATTCAGCACTTTATAGATCCAATTTTTGTCTGCTATTTAAAATTACTTAAAACCATATATAGGTTTTGAACTCATTAGTCGGCAAAAAAGTAACAAAAAGTTGTCTAAGTAGTGGAAAAGTAGCTTTTAGTAGCCTAAGGTTGAAAAAAGTAGCCAACCATCAAAAAAGTAGTAAATAGTAGCTTTTAGTCGAAGAGTGCGAAGCCTGTCATCAACTCCAATCGTGCTCGCTATAATTTTCTTGTAATTTATACTCAAAAATATGCATGTACACCAGATATAAACTGTCTTGGTCAAATAGTGTGTGTGCTAGGAGGATTAAACGATTTTTTTTAAATTTTTTATTTTTCCTTGACAACGCAATGATAATCAATTCCTATGAGATTCGCTATATTTTTCCTGTAATCTACATTTTCTACGTATGTTACCTAAATGATGTAATATACGTAACAAATTGTAGCAAATGTTACAAACGTCAAAGAAATATCATAACCTTACGTTTTAGTCAGGGAATTTAATTAAAAGTCAGGGAACTTTTTAAAAATTTGCAAAAAATGAACATTTTTATGAATTTTAAAAATTTGTCGGTGCAAGGCAAAGGTTACAATGCTAATAAATAAAATGTTTTTATAATTTTAACAATACTTTAATATTTGATATTTTCTATTTTTTAAATATTAAATATTTATTAAAGAAAAGTGGGAAGAAGGTTAGGGTATAAAGTCAAGGAAATATTTTTCTACTTCTTGCTGGATACCCTAATAAAGTATTTTCAATACGAATATTTTTCGATTAACATTGAATATTAAGGGGCCTTCCACCCCGATTTATTTTAAAAACAGAATTCAAACGTAAAATAACCAATCGAGTAACATACGTAGGTAACATACGTAACATACATGAAGTATGTTACTTACCCATCCCTGCTAGTCTCATTGATAGAGTTCACCCTTCGGGTACGGAACCCTAAAAAACAAAAAATATTTTTAAAAAATTCAGAACTCAAAAATTTTTGAAAAATTCCGAAAATATTGTAAAAATCGTTTGCCTATTATAGGGCTAAGCTTAAAAGTTTCGTAAAAAGAAGTAGTTGTTTTTTGAAATTTGAAATAATCGATCAGAACGTCAAATGAGAAAAATGACTTTTTATCATTAAAATTCAAAAATTTGATAGTAATATCGTTTAAAAAAAATTTCGATTTTTTTTTGAAAAGTACGTTTAAAACACACATTTTGAAAAAAAAACTTTTAAAATTGATGCATTTTTAAGGAAGTTATGAGCATTCAAAAATTAAAAGTCATGCAAATTCTCCAATTTTCAAAATTCCATAACTCGAAAACGGCTTGCTAAAAAAATTTGAAAAAATTCATGGAAGCTAGTCCAGGCCTCGGATTATACGACTTTTTCGACTATTTCCAACTTTTTTTCAAAAATACTACTTTTTTTGACTTATTTTAATAAAATGCGACTATTTCGAATTTTTTTACATTTTTAAAAAAGTTTTTCAAATAAAATATATTTTTTTTTAGTATAAAATGCAGATATTCTTCAGCTCTTCTTTATTTCAATTATTTAACAAATTTTTAACTAAAATTCTTCACTAAATTTATTATTTTTAATAATTTTAATGAAATTCATCACAAATGCAATTATTTCAATTATTTTTCTATTAAAATTTTTATAAAATTTAACAATTATTTATAATTTAAAAAAAATATCAAATAAAATTACCAAAAATTTTTAATTCAAAATCATAAATAAATTCAAAATCAAATAAAATTGAATTATTTTCAAAAAATTTCAATTAAATAATTAAACTTAGTTTTATTTACTAATTTTATATCATCGAATCTTGAAAGGGGAATACAAGTTGATACTGTTTACACTGACTTTTCTAAAGCCTTCGATAAGGTTGATCATGCTATTCTAGTGGGAAAGCTTGTATCTTTTGGTTTTTCTTGTAATTTAATTAGTTGGATAAAAAGCTATCTTACTGACAGATATTTGTCAGTGCGTATTGAACATGAATTTTCAATTGTTTTCCTAGCAACTTCTGGTGTTCCCCAGGGATCGAATCTTGGGCCTTTATTTTTTCTGCTTTTTATAAACGACACAAACACTATATTTAAACATAGTTTATTCCTCTTGTTTGCTGATGACCTTAAATTATACAAAGCAATAACATGTGATCAAGATGCTCTTGATCTCCAATCAGATCTGAATGAATTAACAAAATGGTCAATAAATAACAAACTTTTTCTCAACATTAAAAAATGCAGTATAATTACTTTCAGTAAACTTCAGCTAATTAAAGAGTATCAATACAATATTGGTATTGATGTTCTCTCTAGAGCATCAGTGGTGCGTGACCTGGGAGTAACACTAGACTCAGAATTGGATTTTGGAAAACATATTTTAAATGTTGTCAATAACGCGACTAGAGTGTTGGGCTTTGTCACTAGAAATGCATCGCGGTTTAAGAATATAATAGCGTTAAAGGTCTTATATTTTTCTTTAGTTCGACCAATACTGCCGCCCCAACAAGAATAACCGTATCTGCATTTAGGATGAGTCACCTACTTGCCACTGCCACTGCCACCAATAAGTGACTTATCCAAAATGTAGTTACTGCTACTCTTGTTGGGACGGCAGAATACTCGAATTTGCTTCATTGATTTGGTCACCTTACCAAGAATACTTATTGATGGCACTGGAACGGGTGCAAAATAAATTTATGCGTTTTGTTGCTAGGCAGACGGGGATACCATTTGATAGATTTAGTCATGACTATACTGAACTGAGAAGGATTCTGGGTATTCCTTTATTAAGAAACATATTCTTAATTACTGATTTACTATTTATGTTTAAAATTATCAACGGCATTATTAACTGCCCTCCACTCTTATCTTTGCTAAATTTTGCTGTTCCTTTTAGACCAACCAGAAATCCAACTCTGTTCAGACAGTCTTTTCAAAGAACAAACTATGTACACTAAAACGTCAATCGAGAACAGACGAATGTGCAGTGCTGTTCTCGATTGACGCGATTTTTATCGCTCGAAAATAAAAACACTCAGGGCCGTATGAAGTGCCTTACGCAACAATGTGAATTTTATCTAGGGGATTTTCACTATTGGGCACTGAATCCACCTTAAATTTAAAAATTACAAGTACGACTTTGGCGTCAGTCATAACCTAAATTCTACCCGCTTCCCTACTTCCCCTCAAGTGTTCCCTTGCTCTGTTTTCGATTGATGTGTTCTCGATTGACGTTTTAGTGTAATAAATTCTGTTATAAATAGGATAACAAAAGAAGCTAATGAGTACCATAACAACCTAGATTTTTATGGTATTTCTCTAAGTAAATTTGTATGTAAGCTACGCTCTGAAATTTTTGATACTGCTTGAGAAATAACAAAACATTGTTTCGCACTGTCATTTTTCTTATGTTCTTTTTTTTATACTTTAGTACTCTTGTACGAAAGGGCATTGCCCGTATATATATGTAAATAAATAAATAAATTAAAAATCAGCTAAAATTCAATTATTACCCAAAATTTAAATTCAAAATTAATTGTTATCAAAATTTTCAATAAAAAATCAACTAAAATTAAATTATTATCCAACATTTCAATTGAAATTCAATTATTTTCCAAAATTTCAATTCAAAATCTTTTCATATTCAATTATTTTCCAAATTTTCAATTTAAAATCAAGTAAAATTCAATAATTATCCAAATTTTCAATTTAAAATTAATTATTATCAAAATTTCAATTAAAATTCAATTATTTCCCAAAATTTCTATTCAACATCAAAGAAAATTCAATTATTTTCAAAATTTTCAATTTAAAATCGACTAAAATTCAATTATTCTCAAAAATTTCAACTCAAAATTATTTATTATTAAAATTTTCAATCAAAAAACAACTAAAATTGAATTATTATCAAAACTTTCAATTATAATTCAATTATTTTCAGAAATTTGAATTTAACAGCTTCTAAAATTTTTTGACATTTAACTATTTCAATTATAACTCTAAGCCAATTCAATTATTTTTAACTATTTTTATAATATTCTTTGAAAATTCAACTATCTGAAACCATTTTTCAATTAAAAATGGTTTTCAAATTATTGTATTTTTGTCTGCAGTTTCTAATAAATTTTTTAGTTAAAAAAAAAAATTTTAATTAAAAATAACTTGAAGTTCAATTAATTTCAAAAATCTCAATTGTAAATCTTTGAAAATTTAATTACATTTAAAAAATGTTATCTTAAATTATTTGATAAATTATTTTTAGTTCTGTAAAATTTAATTATTGTCTGAAAATTAACAAAATCTTTTGAAATTCAATTATTTCTAAAAATTTCAACTTTAACCCTTCCAAAAGTATTATTATTTCAAAAAAAAAAAATTATTTAAAATCTGTAAAATATTTTTGTTAAAATAAAAAAAATCGACTATTTCGACTTTTTTTAGAATATAAATCGACTAAAACGACTTTTTTTGTGCCTTTAAGTTGATCCGAGGCCTGCTAGTCTCAATTAGTACTAAAAGAAAAAAAATCGGAATTGCAATTGCAGATGGATTTTCACTTTGGCGTGGAGTACATCATATATATTAAAATTTATTTGAGTTGTCTAATTTTTTATCTCAAATTTCAAAAGGGCTGAGTGCATAAGGCTCCTTTTTCGGTAACTCCTGTCTAGTGCTTTGGGGCCTTCGTGGGTGTAAATCCGGCCCTGATAATATCTGCATGCCCTTCCGTACTTTTAGTTTTTACTCGTATTGTTACGAAAATAACTATTGTCTCATGTTGAATTCAAATTGTTAAATTACTAATATATGAACTTCGAATTTCTAGTGTAGAAAAGGATCCATACGATTCCAATCAGAAAGTTAAAGAATCTCAAGACACCAGTTATAAAATTGTCGATTTACAAAAGAAGTTAGATTCTGCAAGAGGGCAGGTAAGAAATAGACTTTTTAAGAACCATTAAAAATATTTTATTAAATTACAAATTATTTCCGCTTTATTGGAATTCAATTTACTTGTACAGTGTTTGAGTTTCGGTTTCACGTACAAGTTCACAATACTCTCCATGCTATAGAAATAACACAAGGCAACATTGTAACGATAGAGTATCGTAGTATAGTGGCGCGGCGAAAAGAGAGAAAGTAGACAGCGTAAGTAGTAGTGTCACTCTTTTCCCCCACCACTCGCTGTCACCTAGCTGCTAGTGATATACCTTTCGTCTCGCACCTTTTCCTCAGTCTTCTTCCGACTCGTCTAGATGTGCTTCTCTGACGATTGGAAGCGACTCACTCCTGGCTACCTGGTGCTCAGTAGAGGTGCGTCTCTCTGAACACCGGAGCCTTCCTTACTTCCTAGAAGGAGCTGTACTTGTTCCTGTAGGCGCTCCTGCGGAACAGTAACACCCTTCGCCTTCCTTCCTCCTGGTGAACCAGGTTACTCACTCACTTCCACCAGGACCGTCCTTGTCGAGTAGAGTCGCTCCTCTCTTGACAAAGATGATGCACTAGGTCGATTCCCCATCTCAAGGCGCTTCTCGGGTGGAGGAGACACCTAGTGAATATTACTTTGCACTAGCTTCGCGTCGGGCATGAATATTGGAACCGATTCCAATATCTAGCTTCTTCCCGATTACGAATAATAATCGACCTAGCGTGCACGACCCTAGTATCCGTACGTACCGTCGTCTAAGGGGTAAATTCTAGAAAGTACCCCATGTGAAAGTAATATGCGTCGTCCTAATCAACATCTTCGCGAACGTGGTAAATATGTTTAAATCCGTTTTATTCTGGATTAATGACAAGCGCGATCGGAGTCGCAGCGAACGCTCCACTAGAATAGCTAGTTCTTTCATCGTTATATTTTCTAAAGATTAGTATTTTATTTGCATTGTATAGATTCTTTCGTTCTTATATTATTTTATGTAATAATTCATTTTTGTATATTTTATTATTCTTTTATTTAAACAATATATTCTCTTTCGAAGGTTTAAATAAAGACTTGTCAATGACTACGCCTCTCCTCTACATCATAGTAAGAAATAGTTCCGAACTTAATCGAAACATAGATGGCGCTTCACGCCATCTACCGAGATTTAAAGTAACTAGTCAAAATAGGTACCCGAACTCCATCCGGCGAGCAAATCCTTTGGCAATAAAAGTCAGATCATTACAAAAGTATAAAATTAAAAATATAAGAATAAATAAATTGATGAAGTACAATATTATCCATATTATCATGTGATAAATATGAATAATAAATAACTAAATAAATATTATATTATTTCTAGGTTAAGAAACTACAAGGAGTTGAATACAGTAAAGAAGACCAACTTCAAAATTTAGAAAATCTACGAAATCAATTAAAGCTAAAGAGGGAACTTCTGCTAAAATATCGTAATATGTGCAGTTTTGATATGTTTAAAATTTAATTATTCAAACTATAAAAGTTAAATATTCCAAAATTCAAAATGGTTTTAAGACATTTTATACGCAATTTAATTCACAATGAATATATTGTTAATAAACTTGCTGAATCTAAATTCTTTAGAAGAATTGCTCAATTATCAATTGTTCTTTTTTATCGAATGAAAGGAAGTAAAGCTGCAGGACAAATAATGTCAGATCCACAAAAATTTAAACTTAATTCAGAAGAATTTCTTAAAAAAATTTACGATAATTTACAGAAACAATTAAATGATGCAAAACGAAATGAAAAAAAATAAACAAGCATTGTATGTTTCAAAGTTATATATGTATATTTGTCTGTAATTATTTAATAGTCAGTAAATAATGTAATTAAAAAATTGTTAATTGTAAAATAATTTTTTCTGGCGTTTCGACCAGATAAAGTGAAAATATTTTAAGGAGTAACATCACGTAAAGTACTTTGAAAATTTTGTGACTGTTTATTTAAAAAAGAGAAAATATTGACATCCCAGATAACCTAAAAATTTGCAGCTGACAAATCAAGAAAAAAAGGTAATTTTGTCGAACATAATTAACATTTCACCCACTTCAGATTTTAAAAATGTGTTTTATTTATATTATATCGCTGGAGTATTTTATAATGTTTAACCTTTATTTTTTTGTTACTTTGAAATAATATTATTATAAAATAATATTCATTTAAATTGTCATATTAGTGTCCTTTGTCAAACAAAAAAATTTTTGTCCTAAGTTTGATTAATTTTTATAAGATTAAGTCGTAAAATACAGTTTTTTTAAAATAATTATTTAACTTACAAAAATACAAAAATGATTTTTATAATAATGGCAGAAAAAATGCAGGCAAAATGTCAAAAGTATAATGCGACCTCGAAGTCATTTTTAATGTACAAATGAGTGGAATGTCTAAAGTTTAGCGCTTAACTTTTTTGGAGGCTGAATATGACAATTTAAATGAAATGAACCATACAATTTTATGACCTAGAATCAATAATTGAAGTCACAAATTTCATCGAAAAAAAATTACAAATTTTAGTCTTCAATCTACAGTATTAAGTCTTATACATAAGTCTCAAGTCTTAAGCTTGAGTCTTAAGTTTTATGCCCAAGTTTTAAGTCTTAATTCTTATGATTAAATCTTAAGTTTTATGCTTAAGTGTCTTATGTTCTTAAGTTTTAAGCTACAAATCAGGGAAATCATGGAAAAGTCAGGGAATTTTATGAAAAGTACTGGAAAAATACAAAATTTCCAAAAATGCTACTAAATGAATAATTTTTGAAATTTTCCATTTAAACTTTTGCTTCTAAAAATTATTGTCTTACATTTTTATAACTGAAGGCCTCGCCTCGGATCGACATTTGAAAGAAAAATAAGTCAGTTTAGTCGATTTACATTACAAGAAAAATCTAAAAACTCCATTTTTTCATTTTCAATTTTAATTAGTTAATAAATATTTTATTATTATTAACAATTTGTTTTTAGAAATTAAATAAAATTTATTATTTTCTTAATAAGAATGGTTCACAGAAATATTTCCAAGAATTTTTTTTAAACCATCTATTTAAACTGAGACAAATTTTCAAAAATTAAATTAAGTTATATTAAAAAAAAAATTTTTTTTGAAGTCTGATTTAAGAAGATTTTTAATTAAAATTTTAAAATTAATGGAATTTGGAATAGTGTGATTTAAAATTTTTAGAAATAACTGAATTTCAGGAGTTTTCAATTGAAACTTTATAAAGAATTAATGAAATTTTTTTTGTATATAAATATTTATTATTTATAATTTATTTATTTATTACACTTGTCTGTGATACGAACCCCGCACCATTTACATGGGAATTTGGTGTCCGGTGAAATTTTCTGCAACTTTGTAATTTTGTCGTTTTTGACCTCCTGAACAAAAAATGTAAATAACAAAATTCCAAAAAATGGACAGATTTTTTAAAAATTGAGGTTTAAGTTCAAAAAATAGTGTTAAAAGCGAAAAAAATTCAAAAATGAGTAAAACCAAAAGAACTAAATAAACTTTCTTATAACTCGTTACTCAGGGGTTTTCGGGGTCGCTGCTTACGAATTCGATGTCAATTTTTGAAAATCCAAAATGTCGGATCCAAAATGACCGACTTTTAACACTATTTTTTAAACTTAAACCTCAATTTTTAAAAAATCTGTCCATTTTTTGGAATTTTTCCATTTACATTTTTTGTTCAGGAGGTCAAAAACGACAAAATTACAATAGTTGCAGAAAATTTCACCGGACCCAAAATTCCCATGTAAATGATGCGGGCTTCTTTCTGTCATTCTGACACACACAAACGGTCGTCGAGTACAAAAATGAGACTTTTCACGAAACTTTTAATTAAAGCACGGTTATCAGAAGATGAAACATTTAGCCAATTCTCAGATGGAGAAAGATTGTTAGAAAAATCGGAAACAAAACTTTCGAACAAGTGTTCGCAAGCTGGGCAAGAGGTTAAAATATGTAAAAGATCTTCGTCTTCCAGATTACAGCTAGAACAAGTAGTGTCAGGGAGAAAAACATACTTTTTTTTCTTAAAATAAATACGGTTAACAGGGATATGTCCAGAAACGGAACTAAATTGAATTATAATTTTGTTCCGTTCCGTGCCAGAGGCATGAAACTAAATTACTTAAGGAATTTATTTTGTGTTCCGGCACGATACAAAATAAGAGATAATTATATTTCGTGCCGAGGAAACGGAACAAAAATAAGAGGTAATTATATTTTGTGCCGAGAAACGAAACAAAAATAAGAAGTAATTGTATTTCGCGCTTCCTCCTCTAGATCACATGTAGTAGTCCACTTTACGCCAGTATTAGCACAATCTTAAAAGCAAATGAAAAAGAAAAATGGTGGCGCTGCGCTTGCCTCCAACTTCCGGGTCACGTGCCATTTTATGCGCGTTCCACACTTAAACCTTTTGGAGATCCGACGCGACGTGCCCTCTCCAGTGACTCTGCGCGTAGGGGAAGTGAGTGTTTCTCAGTTAAATGCTTCTCGCTTTAAATCATCTTTAATACAATAAATAAATTATTATTCTTATAACAACAATTAAATCATATGTTAAATTTAATAGATTTATTATGTTTCAGAAAATTTTGTGAATATTTAATTCAATTAAATTTGACATTTAATCAAGTATTAATTGATAAATTTTTTAATGGAATTAATTATTATTGGTTAAAAGGACATTTGTTTTAATTTATTGTTAATAATGAATTTTCTTTTTTAAACATGTATTTTTCATAAATTAATTTTATATACATATAAACAGTAATAAATAATATATTAGGTAGGCGTTTTAAAAATATATTTTAATAAAAATACCGTTATTTATTTATGATTTTACGAAATTTTCATTTTACTGTATTTAAAAATGAATAGTTTTAAATTTCAGAAAAAAGATTACATTTCGACATAAATTATTTTTATTTTTACATTTAAATTTTAAAATGAAATTATTCTATTAAGTTAATGTTACATGATAGAAGAGAATGTTATTTGTTTTAAATACAAAAATAAATCGGTATGAATACAGTTAATTTATTATAATAGTTAATAATTGGTTAAAATAAATAATCACTTAATTCAAATTCACAAAATTTTCTGAAACATATTAAATCTTTTAAATTTAACATATTATGATTTAATTGTTGTTATAAGAATACTAATTTACTTTTTATATTAACGATGATTTAAAGCGAGAAGCATTTAACTGAGAAACACTCACTTCCCCTATGCGCTGAGTCACTGAAGGGGGCACGTCGCGTCGTGTCAGATCTCCAAAAGGAATGATAATTATCATTCCTTTTCTTTGTGCCAGTATGTAAACACGTGCAAATATTATCTAAAGAAAAATTATTATGGGAAATAATAAAAAAAGACGACATTCGTCATCAAGAGAATCCGAATCTGATTCGGAATGCGACAGTGATACCAAACAATTACTTAAACGTATCAAGAAACTAAAAAAGGTTAAAAAATCAAAGCGAAAAAAGTATAAACGATGACATTCAAGTACGGATTCCGGAAGTAATTATACTTCAAGTAAGTTTATAAATTTGTTTTTTTGGTATTTATTCCCGTGTAGAAATTTATCGTGGAAGTGTATGGGAAACTTTACAGTAGGACTAGATTCAGTCTAGCAACTTTAAGGGAAAATGTTACAGAATCGGGCAGGGTATGTAACGCTTGGAGTCTCAAGTTTCTATCTAGGCCTCTTGTCAAGTCCTTGTCCAGCAAAATTCAATGATCCTGGCCAGTTCCACGAAATTAAAATTTACAGTTTCTTCCTAGATGGTATAACTAATATACGTAAATAATAAACAAATATTTTCAATTTTTATTTATTAAACCAACTAAATTACAGCATCATTGTTATTTAATATCACAATTTCTTTAAAACTTATTTTTAAAATTGTAACATTTTTGGGTGCTTTCTTTGAAACAAACAATTAAATAGTAGCTTTTTCTTAATAATAATAATACTCAACGTCGGGTACAGCTTCTCCAAGAGGATCGACCAGATCTTCTGGGTTAAGAACGGGCACGTTGAGTTCCAGAATCACTTTCTTTCTCAACTGCCGGTGTCCTTCCCAGTCCTTTGAATTTGACAACACTTTTCCCAACTCTCGGTAATAAGCCTTGTCGGTGAATTTCTTGTTTTCAGCTAGCAACTTTATTCTATTAATAAAATCAAAAATCAAATTAAAATCAGCATGTAAAGTGGCCTTGCACGTGCTAATTTAAGGTTATGTTTGCCATCGCGAAAACTGGTTTTTAGAAATAATCTTAATAATTTTAATTTTAATAAACTGTATAAATATAACCAAAGATAAAATCGAACTTGAAAATGAAGACGTTGGTTAGGAATATAATTTATTACAGGAAATATTTGGTAAATCTCAACTCGAAAACCAAACGAAATCGACGCTTGGCGTTGCTTAATGTTTACAAACGTTGATTCGTAACAACGAAAATTTATGACTATTTTAATCAGTTTTATTCTTACCTGAATCTGTTCGTCTTATTTTTCTTGTCCACCAGTAAAAAGAACTGCGTTTTTATAAATAACTGCATCCACTATAAAATCCAGATAAAAAAACTTTCGCGACCATGCTTTGCAGTCATCCCCAGACTTGCCTGTTCCTGTCTGCTCTGATAAATACTACCAACAGAGATCAGTGCTACCAACCGCCCGGTCCTAATAGCGCGCGCTTATTTGAAATAATTGAATTAAACTTTATAACAAAGTTCTATTATTATTTTTTTATGTAC